CCAGATTACATTATTTATATGTACATATTTACAACAGCACAAAAATATCATACAAATTTGAAAAATGTATTTTTATTCAGAAGTACCTAATCTCTGAATTTTTATATCGCAAAACATGTTTTAGTTAAACTTATCAATATTTTTCGATAAAGGACCGAGGTCAAAAAAAATGTTATTTTTTATAAATTTTTATACAAGTTACAACACATGTAACTCATCAAAAGTAATGAATTTTTGTTTTAATGAGTTTTTTTAAATTAAATAATAATTCTCCAGTTCGAAACTGAATTAATGTAAGTTTTTTGAATTAATATACGTAATTGAATTAAAATTTAAATTGGTTAAAAGATGATAGAAAATTGTGGAAAATAGAATTCTGTTAAGAGGATAGTTTAAATTAGAAATTTAGAGTAACTTTTTTGATTAATTAAAGAAAAACTGTTTTTCATTAGATAAAATCGCATAATTTTGATAATTAAATTAAAGTATCATTCATAATTTCAATAGTTAATATAACTATTATTAATAATCTTAAATTAGTTTAAATATTTTTAATTATCTAGAATAACAACAATTAATGTTTCATTAAATTAAAAAAATATTTTATTACTTATTAAAGCCTTATTGTCGACGAAATCTGTGGCTGATCCCATCGGCCAGTCGACATCCTAAACGGAAAAGAAGTCGTAGTAATTAAGAAGATAATTAGACTGACTCGTGATGTTGATCCTGTCATGGTACCATCATCTGGTGGCACATTTACAACCATATTTGGTACAGCAGCTATGGGAGGAGCTGGAGGAAAAAGCGGCGTTGTTACGCTACTGAAATTGAAATTTCGTCCTGAGCTACTTGTATTTGTTACATTTTGAGATGTTGATCGATGAAACATATTTCGTCTGATCGGCGGTAATTGCAATTGAGAGCTTCTATTAATGGAAGAAGCTGATTCCACAATCATTGAGCCTATGGATTCCATATTGCAAATCTAAAAAAATAAGACGTAAAAAAAATTTTAAATGAATATGTTATTCTCAATTTATAATCGAAAGAAGTTGTAGTCTAATTCGAAGCATTGAATTTGGTTAATGAAAAGAAAATTCTCAACTCAGAGATATTTGTTTCCTTTATAGGTATTAATGAAAAAAAGATCTTCTACACACGAATAAATAAATAAAACGCAATATAATTCGTTGTTCGACAATTAAGTTATGTTGAAATATTTAACAGCAATTTTATATCTAATGAAATATTATTGTATTTGTTTTGATTGTATTAATAAGAAAGTAGCTATCAAAGAGATTCTTATGAATTGTATTTCAATGGATATTTCCTTTTCATTCTTGCCGTTACTGTTTTTTTTTAAATAAATCTATTCTATTGTAATATATTATGTTTAGACTTTTTCATCTGTTTTTTTATCTCTACCACTTATTTTCTTTATTAGTCGTCTGGTTGTTGAAGAGCAGACAGTTGTTTTGTTATCAAATTATTCGATAATATGCTATCAGTTCGTTTACATTCTTGGTTGTAACATTGGAGGTATTCTTATATTAATCTGCATTGGTCTACATAATAATAATTTAAGCGAAATATTATAAGATTTAAATGATATTATCTGTTATAAAGAAGCTGTACCAAACTTATAATTATTTCCTTAATATCTGATTGTTATTTTTTGATTTTTTGACAAAAACAATCCATGACAAATGTCAGAAAAGTAGAACTCAGCGGTCAAAAATGAGAACTATTAGTTCAATGATACGAGTATTTTCCCAGTTACGATGATAGTAACTATTTGTTCCGATATAATGTCGTACTTTTACCACCACCAGAGCTCGTCGAGTTCGAGTCCGCAAATTTTTAACCTGATCAACCTTTATCAACACTATGACCTACCCTCGAGATAGTTAATATCTGATTTCTTAGCTATTTTTTGAAATAATAGAATTCATGAGAAAAGGTTACTATGTTTATAACATGTGATACAAAAGTATTTCCACAAAAATCAGTCGCTATGTCTCGTTGATAGAAGAATGCTGAAAGATATTTTTTTCTACATTAGAAGATAAAGGATTTTTCCTCTTTCGAATCATATATAATTTATTTTTATAAAAAGTTTAAAAACTAAACGATTCAACAGAAAAGATAAACACAGCCCCTTAAAATGAGTTCATACTTGTTGTATAATGCTGAATAACTGTACAAAATATCAAACCATATATCTCTTTAGTAAATGCATGTTGGAACTATAATTTTTTTAACAACTTATAGCAAATTTTCTTCTCTTTTGAAATCTTTCTAATTTAATTCTTGTTTTATAGTCATAACGAAGATGATATAAGGTAGAAGAGAAACACTCACATAACGAATTTGTAACTTTTATGGTGATTTACCGTAATAAGTTTTGTCAAAATATAGATTTTCACAGAACATCAATTTATTCTATATTCAGTAAATGTTTGATGCCGTATATATAAGCAAATGGAATTTATATCAAGACATGTTCGTCGAGTAAAGTTTTCTGATCAAAAACTAAAGACATTATTGAAATCTCTTAATAATTCTCAAAGTATTTGTCACCGTAAATTTATTATCAAGTCTGTGATATACATGCTGTTTACTTAATATAATATTTCAGATTGTTGACATGACGTATTCGATGAATCAAAATGAAAATTCCAACTTAGTTGTATGAATATTTCATTTTTTCCCTGTCATTTTCTTTATAAGTGTAAAACAAAATAAGTTAAAGAGATTGTGACACAGGAGAAAATTTCCTATCAACTTATTTAAAAAAATTAATCTTTCAGCATCCTTCTATCAAAGAGAGATAGAATCCAACATTTGTCCAATTAAATTTAATTTGTATCACATGTTATCAGTTGAAACCGCTATTTTTTTTTATAATTTAGAGAAATTTTTTAATAATTTTGACAATTAATACCAATTTGCGATTTACTAAACCATGATTACAATTAAATATATTCTCAAAAAAAAAAGTTATGACACGTTTTTATTTTCTCTCAATGAAACAATAATATATTTGACCTTGTTTTGATATATGAATTATTTTGCGTTTGTACTCCTGAATTTGTAGAACTAGAATAAATAAAACGCATCAAAAGTGTTGTGATTGGATTTCAAGAGAGAGACATCTGAAAGAAACACTTGAAAATAAGAAAAATAAGAAACATAAAAAGAGAATTTCGAATTTGTTTTTTTCATTAGTAAAAAATCAATATTAATATTGAAGAAATACATAAACTTTTTTTTCTTAATAGTAATATTGTTTTATAAAAACAGTAGTGCATTGAATAATTTCAAATACTTAATTAATCTTTTAATAATTGTATGTTCATTGGAAAATACGGGATCTACGAAAATTGATCGAACGAAAAATGCTCGAACGAAAATTGGTCGCTGACAATTGGGCGATACGAAAATTGGTCGAAAATTTGTTATAAAAGAACAAAAGCTTTTTCATAATCAGAAGCTCTAACTCTTAAGTGTAAGGGCACAATTTACACTAATTATATTTATGAAAAAAGGGACCCTCATACTCGAAGGACCTAATGAGTTAGACAAATGAGTTAGACAAATAAGTTAGATAAATACAAAAAAGCAATGGCAGTTTAGAAACAATGAGCAAATGCTTTAATTATTGTAGTAATGTTGTCTGCTTTGTAGGTGACACAGAGTGTGGGGGTGAGGATAAGGTTTTAGGGACATTTTCGAAGCAAGGCAACCCTTCTACAGGAAGTAGAGGAACTTACTCATTGTTTATAAACTGCTATTGCTTTTTTGTATTTATCTAACTTATTTGTCGAATTCATTAGGTCTCTCGAGTATGAGGGTCCCTTTTTTCATTAATATAATTAGTGTAAATTTTGCTCTTACACTCAAGAGTTAGAGCTTCTGATTATGAAAAAGCTTTTGTTCTTTTATAACAAAATTTTGACCAATTTACTCTTCGATCAATTTTCGTATCACCCAATTATCAGCGACCAATTTTCGTTCGAGCATTTTTCGTTCGACCAATTTTTGCTTTCCCGAAAATACGAATATCGTAGATTTTCCCACTTTTCCCCAGTGATCATATCTTGTAAACTATCATTATTTGCAGCTTAATTCAACAACTTTTTACAATTACTTATTCAACAAACGAGAAAAAAACTGGTGCTCAACTAAAGAACTTAGTAATTCATGGTAAAATTCTTGTTCTGATTTACGCGTTATCTTTCCATGTAAGAATTATTGTAAAACAAAATGAAAATAAATTCTTCGGTCGTATTTTAATTGATGATATAAAAAGCACACGGATGAATTTTGAAGGTTGGCTATTTTGAAATTTGTTTTTCTCAACTACAATCGAATGCAAGGCTTTGAAGAGAAATTTGAAACATAGTAAGAAATATGTACGTTGCTCCGATTGATGAAGTGTCTGTTAGTACTTTGTCCTAAATATTGAAGTATCCTAGCAATGAACTGATTAATAAAAACAAAGACAAACTTAATTATTATTCGCATCGTGTAATGAAAAAATATATTCTTGTGCGAAAAAAAAACAATACTAGAACAATAACATATATATACACATATTTACTTGACTAGGTTCAAGAAAAATTTCTTTGAATTAATTTCTACTATCACATGTATATCAAAATTAACCATGGACTTAGAGAATTAAAAAAAATTCTTGAATTTTGTGAATACTATACAAAAAAAAAACACAGAAAAGACATGGCATATCGGATGATGAAACAGATATAAAAATTGGTATATTTCAAATTCACTGATTAACAGTGATATGTTAAGGAATCAAATCCAATGAATTTGATTTTTAATCAAAACCATGGAATTAAATTGATGAAAATGTTCATTTTAGTCAATGGATTTGAAATATATCATTTTTTATTCCCCGTTTCATTATTTTAATGGAATTTTTTAAGCATGCCGTCATGAAATTAATATAATTGAAATTCCTAAATTTAGATATTCATTTAGCAGGTGCTGCACTGTCTTTCATTTTTGGGCACAGTGGCATTACAGTTGTTTTTTCCCATTGTAAAACAGTGTTTCGCCTTCTGTTACTACTTCATGTTAGATGATGGAACATTTTTTGATAATGAAGAACATCAGTTTTTTAATTTTTATTTATTTACTATATCACACCTGCTAGATGAATAAATTAATTTAATCGATACAAAAAGAACTAATGTAGCACGAATATATAAAAAGTAATATTGGAAAACTAAAAGAAGAAAAAGAAAATTTTCACTTATAAATTTAATAAGAATAAAAGAAAAAAGACACATACTTTCTAGCTTCCCCTGTAATTAGAATAAATAGAAAGATGAACAATTTTCCAATAATGCTGCAACAAATAAGCAAAGTACTTTTTTTACTTTGCAGAATAACATTATGGTATTTGGATTTCTCTAGTGAGCTGTAAAACACAATATTTTTCAACGTTATAAGTACCTTGAGTACTTTGTGTTTGTGCGAAGTATATAGTGTTGAAAATATCAGTCAAATAAAGCCAAATAAACAACAATTACAACGTATCAGTATACATTTTCTACTCAACCAATGATGAGTTTATGTAAAAGAGGTCATAACATTCATATTGTTTTAAATTTACCTTAAAAAAAAAGAATTCTCATGATACGTTATTGACCTTTTGCTGTAAAAAGTAAAATAACGATATATGTCGCAAGTAACAAGTGTTCATAAACACACTTTTTAAATTAAAAGAACATTTTGTGTCAAATCTTAACAATGAAAATTATTATCACATTTCCTTTTTAATTGCTATGTTGTCTACGAAACTATAATTCTGTATCAAATTTGGTTAAAATTGTTGACACACATGGGATAGACTACAAGAGTTTCATTAGAGAAAACTATTTAAACTTCCTCGATTATCTGATCGAAATGATTCAATCATTTCATATTTTGTCACATCAGATCAGTTTT